TTCTTTCATTACAAATCTCAGTGTCAGTGTCTGGCTTTACTGCACTGGGTGAGCAGACCCCAGTTGGGTTTGCTAATAAGATCCCTATCTGTAGTACTCAGTCAAGAGAGGAAAATAAAAATTTCTCTTTATCTCTTCCTTCCCAAATTCAGATTAGCAGGAGAAAAACATTTGTTTATATTGTGACTCTCTGGATAAATTTGATTTCAGAGTTCCCCATTTGCTATTGATCCTTTCTCTCCCAGGGACAGCTATCTCTTTCCTTGTTTGTCTCGATTTATGTCCTCATAACTTGGCTTGATTTTCTGCCTGTCTGGGCACGTAAGTGGTCAGTTTTGTGTATGTAGGTACCCAACTTCATGTTGGAGGCCCCAAGAATGTAGCCAGATAGAAATGTGTGTTTCACCCCATTTGCAGCTATCATAACAACAGTTGTCAGCTCTCAGAGGGTGAGTTCTCTGTGTCTTTCTTCCTTTTGGCTATCTTTGGCAATGATTCTGGGTCTTGGGAGGGTTGCTTCTTTTTGTATCTTCTTTTGAGGATGTTTCTTTTGTCCATGGTTAAGTCATAAAAGGCTTATTGGTTTTGGTTCTGAGTCACTTAATAGGTACTTTAGGTTTAAAAGAGGGGATAAAGGTAAATAAATATATATGTTTTTCTCTTATTAATCTGTCTTTTGTTATAGATATCTCAGCCATGAATCTTGCAACAAGTGAGGAAAGGATATTTAATATTTTTCTGCCCTACATTGGGCAAGATGTCATTTCTTCTCTGTTACTCTTAATTTGGTCTCTCTTCATTTTCACTCTCTACCAAGAAAGAAAAGCTAAATAGTTCACACATTAAAATGGATTACTCAAAAGTGTTTGGAAAAAGTAAGGGAAAGACATATCCCAATCCAAAATGTCAAAGATTAAGTGGCTTTCTCCTTGAAACTACCTTTCTGACCCTAGGAAACACTAAGACAGTACCCTATACCCAGTGATTGATTGACAAATCAATACAGTACTGCCCAAGGCCCACCAGTACTTTTTATCACAAACCACACTGCAGGGACAGGCCCTAAGTACTACCTCTGCATATGGAGCACTGGCTGCATGTCTGATGCACACTTTGCACATATGAGCTTTTCTAATCCTTCTAACAATCTTGTAAGGTAGGACTTTGTATTATTCCTTCTTTACAGATGAGGAACTGAAGCATTAAGTGTTCAATCTTTCGCTGGAAAGGATGGAATGTGGATTTGAACCCAGGCAGTCCCACTCCCTCCTCTCTCACTCCTTGCCCATGTAATATTTCTTTTCATAGCTATTATAATCCCTCTTACTCATCCTCAATTTACAAAAGCACTCAGCACAATACTATACACACAATAGTATGGGAACTCAGGGAATATTTTCCAAATAAAAGAATCGCTAGTGGCAAAGCTAGTAGTTTGATCTACTCTGAGCAGTGCCTGCAGAAGGCCTGGGCAGTGATGCTGAGAATATGCTACCTCACTGCCATCTTCTCTTTTTGCCATTATTAAAGATTAGGAGACATACACAAAAAAGTTGCCCCAGGGAATGTTCACAAGAAAGAAGATGCAGGTGGTATTCTTCCCCATGAGCTGAAAATCTGCCGAGGAGGTGGTACTACCTATGACATGCTAGTGAGGCATCTCTTATTGTTAATTACTTATAGTGAAAGTAATTAATAATGCAGTTTAGAGATTTTTTTTAGATGGGTGTGTGTGTGTGTGTGTGTATATATATATATATATATATATATATATATATATATATATATGTGGGAGGGGGCAAAGTCCAACTTTGTCTCCGTAACTGTACTAGAGGTACTGGTCCTCTAGTACAGTCCTGGTGAAGATTCAGAAGGGCGTGGTCCCTGTCTGCATTAACCCAGAGAGGCCAAACTCTATGCATAATGTCTTTTAGGTTGTGTGTTGTGGACAAAGCAAAGTTACTGCTCAGAGATAGGACTGTAAAAGTTTGTCCAGTAAAACCAGGCTTGCCAAATGAGAATTCTGGAAATGGAGGATAAGGATTAGGTAATGGGGGACAAGTGGGTGAAGGCAAAGGGAAGTGAAAAATTATCTGATTCTGGTCTAAAAACTGTGGTCTTAGAACCATTTGGAAGTGATGGAAGGACGGTGCTCATTACACTTCTCATCTGAACATCCTAAGTGTGAGAGAAAACACACTGCCTACTTCTCTGAATTTCAGTGAAGACAGGGTCAGATGGAGCACAAATTGTCCAGAACTTTAAATAAATCCTGGAAGAGAGAAAACCGATAAATCACTGGGTCCAAGTCAGGACAGACTTGGTTTTGCTGCCTTAGAAACAACCCCCTAAAATGTCAGTGACTTAAAACAAAGTCTGCGCTTGTCCGAGACTCTCCAGACAAGCCTCCTCCATGTGACAACTCAGTACTGCACTTCAGTATCTACATGTGCTTCCACAATCACCACAGCAGGGGAGGAGTGGGGAGAGAGAGAAAAAGAGAGAGATTGAGCATTGGTAAGTAGTCATGAGCATGGCCAAGCAGTCATGCAGCCACTCCTGACTTTAAGGAGACAGGAAAGTACAAACTCCCTCTGTGTTTAGAAAAGAAAGGGGGGTGTATATTAGTGAACACTTGTAATGCCTGCCATATACTGCTCTACCCAGCAGGCTTGCAAGTATTTCCTTCTTTCATATTCACTCCTTATATATACCTTTCCCTTGTGTTATGTGGCATATATCAGATCTATGGGGTAGAGCTGAGGAAGGGAGACCAAATAGTTTTGCAGCCCATTTTAGTCCACAGGTGACATTTTTGAAACAGAGGGGTGCCCAGGAAAGACCAGTTCACTCTGGATGCTTTTCCCCTAGAGCTGTCAGACACTAATAACTCTGGGAAGGAATGATGGGTTGAAGGGGGCCATGGCCTGATTTCAATAACATATTTAAGATAGAACAACTAGTTTTGAGTTGCTCAGGACCAATCTGTGAAAAGGCTTTTGGAAATGTGCCCTTCCACATCCATTTCTTCCTTTGTTACCAGATGTGATGCAAATTCCCTCTAAGCCCTGTTACTTTTCCAGAAAGCAGCTCTCCTTGCCGCAGAATAAGAGAACCAAAAACTTTCCCTTATTATTCTTCCAATAATGAATTCCTGCTCTGAGTGGGCTGCCTCCATGTGTTTTCAGTCAAGTGCTGATGGAAGCCTTGCTGGGGGACATTTCCAAGAGGCTGTGGACATAAGAGATGAGGTCTCATATTGACAAGAACTGCTCTTTGTTTTCCTTCCACTTTAGCCCCCCAGAGCCCTGAAATCAGAGATGAGAAATGATTCATAAGCTCTTGCTGGTGAACTAACATGGCTGCCAAGCCTCTTTGCTCCTTTTAATCAGGGGGAAAATATTGTGGTTTTAAAGCTTTTCTCAGATCTGTGGACCCGGATTTTAGTGACTTTTAAGGGACTTTCTCAGACCAAACCAGTTCTTTAGAGATGCCAAGACTTCCTTTCTTCAGGACTCAAACATAGTCCTGGCCTACTGACATCATAAGAAGAAAGGGAGAAATTAGGCCACACCATTTCCTGCCTAAAACCTAATCTCAGGTACACAAGCTGCTTCCCAGTAGCTATTGGTAGGCCATACTTGCTAAGAGCCAGCCTACTCATTCTCCCCAAAGCATATGTCTTCAGATAATAATTCAGTTTTCAACCAAACTAAATGGAACTGTACAAACTTTTAGTTATAGTTGGGCTGTTTTCATTAGGAAGAAGAGTCTCAGTTATCCTGGTAAAAGGGGACAGGTGTTATTGAGGACATAGGTGGCAAGGAACTGGAAAGCCTTTAGAAGGGGAGACAGCCCTGGGAATTCATTATCCTGGTTTCTCAGCTTTTCTCTGCATGTCTGTCCAAGGCCAACCTCTCCAGCAGACTTGTCCTACATACTGTAGTTCTGCTTACTGAAAACTCCAGTTTGCATGTGACTTGTCCTGGTGTCCCCTCAGCCTTTCAACTTAAGTTCCCATTGGCTTTTTACCTTGGTTAAACTCCTAAGAGAGAATGTGATTGGCTCAGCCTTATCTTAGTGTTTTGTCTCAGACAACATCATTGGTCACTAACCAGCCAAATAGTTGTGGGCTGAGGAAGTCCCTGAAAACATGGCAAGACTAATGGGCAAGGCATCTTCCAGTAGAGGGGCTATGAGAGGATAAGACCATGAAGAGCTCTAGTGTACTTTTATACCCTTGAACTGGATTGCTGTAAGCATACCTCCTCTTCCCAGGCTTTGGAGCAATTTCCTTTTCCCCAAAACCAGACATCACCAGAGATAAGAGAAACTTCCATTGAGGAACCCTGTCAGAGTGAGCAGGAAGACATTCTTTCTTCATTAATCCCCAAGACCTCCTCTGACCCCTTCAAGGATCCCTAGTCTCGATGCCTGACCTTGCCTTTCCCCAGGCCCCACCCTCAGGCCTTATGGAGCTCTGCTCCCAGATTCATGACTAGAAAGTACCAAACAACTTTTAAACTAAGGTTTAGAACACAAAAGGACTCAGTCTGGATCAAATTTTTGCCAACTGTGTTCTCCCAAGATGCCCAAAGCTCTTCATTAGAAGTTATTCACAAACTGTCATGTGGTGTTGCCCTACTTCAATAGAGTCGAAAATCGTGCTTTGTCTGAATTCACATATCAACCAGAGGACTAGGGAAAAATTGGATTAGGATACTAGAATTTGCCCTTTATTCATTAAATATCATTACATTTATACCTCATCTGATGTGTGAAAGCTAAACCCAAACCATCTGCATTCAAATTTCAGTAATTCCATATTCTTTTCAGTGGATACGAGGTTAGGAGTGAAGTAGAGGCAAATCTAAACAAGTCTGTGTTTCCTTGCCCTTTCCTGAGCTCAGAATATGTCAATATTGATTACATCATTGGTCAGACTTTGTCCTGTGACTGACACTTTCATCTACTGACTAAAATTGCAACATTTTCCCTAGGAGCCTATGATGGCAGAGAAGGTAACTCTGACGGTGTTCCTAAACCTGCTGCTGTGGGATTCCAGAGTCAGCTCCTCCGGATCACTTCCAGATCCCTGCTCGTCCCATTTAGAATCTGATGTTGAAGTCTATTGCCATTGGCTGTCCTCTGGGGCCAGAGAACCCATCTGGGGTTTGTCTAGTCTCCCATGCCAACACCGTCATCTAAACTCCACAGTCGTTACCAATCTAACAGCTTGAAAGTTGATGCAGAGATGAAGCAGAAGCCAGTTTGGCTTCCTCCCAGTTCTCTATGTCCCTCTGGGGTTAATCAGCAACTACCTATCTTTGTGTCAATAACATAAGCCTCTCTAACTAGAACACCTGGTGGAAACCCATGGGCAGGTTTAAGATGAAGCAAATTTTGCAGTAATTAATCTGACCTTCACTCTATTTAAGCTGCACTCAGAATATCCAGACAAAAACAGCTTGCTGAACCCAACCAGCTAGCTGGATGGACCTATAGCTCTCAGTGCTCCTTAAGCCACCTTGGGTTTTCTAATATTTTCCATGTCCACACTTTAACTCCAAAGTCTGTGAACTTTAAGCAGTATCTCCCTATTTCATGCATACACACAGAGTTTAGTGAAACAGCCCGAGTCCATCCTACTGGTAGAATTCTTTAATGGCATCTCCCCAGCCCTTTCCCACCCTCAGAGCCCATCCTGATGGTGGTGTTCACACCACTGGGGAAATCATAGACCTTCTTAACTGGGATTACCAATACCTACTCTTAGTGGCTATTGAGTGTCAGGTGATTGCTTATTCAGGGAAAGGTGGGAAAGGGGTTAACAAGACCAGGGGCATATAAAAAATAGTTCTGTGCTGTATTAGTTTGCTCAGGCTGCCATTATAGAATACCACAGAATGTATGGCTTAAACAACAAAAATTTATTTTCTCTCAGTTCTGGAGGCTGGAAGTCCAAGATAAAGGTGGCAGCAGGTTTGGATTCTCCTAAGGCCTCTCTCCTTGGTTTGCAGACGGCACCTTCTCTTTGTGTCCTCTCATGGCTTTTCCTCTGTGTGTGAATTCCTAGTGTCTCTTCCTCTTTTTATAAGGACACTAGTTCTGTTGGATTAGGGACTTACTCTAATGACTCATATGACCTCATGTAACCTTAATTGCCTCCTTTAAAAGGCTCTATCTCCAAACATAGTCACCTTAGGGATTAGCACTTCAACCTATGAATTTTGAGGGGACACAGTTCAGTTCAGTCTATAACTGATCCTGCCTTTCCAATCTGAGTGGGAGAAAAGAAGATATTGGCCAAGAAATGCAGTTATGACTGTGTGCAGTTTGAGAATTGCTAAGATAGGAAGAATGCATGAGACAGGAAGAGTGAAAAGATTGATGGATGGATACATGAATGGATATTTAGATGGAAAGAGAGATGAATGAATAAATGACTTTGGTAGTGTGTTGATAGCACCAGGACAGAAATTACATTTTGCTTCTTTGGGATTGTAGTTTTTTACAGTATAGGGGTTGCAAACTCAAATGCTCATGCTAGCCAGGTAACGGAGTTGTAAAAAGAGGCCAGATGCAATAATAGGGAGTTATAGGGACTGATAAATTAGAGATAGCATGCCTTATAAAGGGGCAGGAGGTGTTAACAAAGACTTTCTCCTTGAGTCATGATCCTCTGAGTCCTCTTTCTTATTAGGCTCTGACCTTGGGCTTCTGTCCTTGGCACTGTCCAATTTTAGCAAGACTTCTGCTGAATCAGTTTAGCAAGTATCCCCTACCCTTGGTATTTGATCACCCTCAATATCTGATCAAATTCCTCCTTCCCCCCCTCTCAATATCTTATCCCCCTTGACTGCATTCAGTAAGAATCTCGCCAAGTCAGTTTAGCTGGAATCCCCCCTAGCCATGATGTTCCCTGATAGTCATTTTCCACCCACTGATCCTCCACCTTGCTCCTTAGTGATACATTTCCACTTTTGCTTGTTGAATTCAGACTTGAGCTCATCTCTCCCTGCTACTACAAAACCCTATTGTACTGTCCCTTCTTGAGTAAAGTCTCCTTTAAGGTCCTTAACAAGTGTCATGAAAAATTTTTCTTTAACAATACTTGGCTACAGTCAGTTGTTGTCATGTGGGTTGCTGGCCTAACTTCTGATTTTACAAGGGAAGCCAGAAATCTGAATTTCCAGATGAAATCTTTCCTTAAATAGACCTTGAAATTCAAAAATTATAAAATACTGTGTAAGCCAAAGAAACACATACACACACATATATATATTCTGAATGCATGCTGGGGGCTGGAAGACTACCACTTACTTACAGTCTACCACTTACTAGCTTTGTAATCTTGGGCAATTATGCATGTACTTCATAGAGCTGTCGTAAGGATAAAATTAGTTCATGCATGTAGGTACCTAAACAATGCCAGCTGCTTAGTAGGAAAGCAGTAACTGTGAGCTGGTAATATTAGCTAGTATCATGAAACCTCTTGGTTTCCTCATCTGTAAAATGGGGACAATTGCCTTTCCTATCCCCCAAAGGATTGTTGCGAGGGTGAAAGAAGAACATGTATGAAAGACCTTGAAAAAGTATATACATTGCTAAGAAATACACTAGGCATTACTTCTGTTACTATCCCTGTAAATGAGGCACAGCCTTTCCCAGTGCAGGAATGGGATCCCTAGGAAGAGGAGCAGATAGTAACTATTAATTGTCATTTTGTTGTTCTTAGAATTTGGTTGATTTTTTTTCCTTTTTTATTATGAAAATTTTCAACATTCAGAAAAGTAGAGAAAATGGTATAATGAACACCCAGATACCCTTATCTGATCTAATAATTATTAACATTTGCCATATGTGCTTGACTTGGTGAGTTTTCCTGGCAGATATATGAGAATGCAATGTGGCAGAGATGTGATAAGGAAGTGGGTGAATTAAGGCGTAATTGTTGGTGCTGACTGGGAAAGCTGAGGGCTTTAACTACCTCAGCCACTACTTATTTTTTCAAAAAAGCAAGTTCTAATCAGGTGTGGATGGCTGCCTTTTGGCTAGGACCCCAGAGAAAGGAATTTTGTACAGGGTAGGTTTGTTATAGACAATACATTGTTACCACCTTAAAGAAAATTGTATAAATGGGATAACAGAAATGATTTTATTTATAAGATTTTGATATGTTGTTATTTTTAAGGTTTTAATTTTTTGCAAAGAAATGTATTTGTGTATTGCTCATGCAATGGAAAATAAAAATTTCTGGAGAGACTTTCAATATGGAAATATCTCTGACACAAAGAACTCAGGAGTTGAAATTGTAGTGGATCTGAGAGAAGTCTGGTAAAATCAGTAATAAAAAGAGATGTTGGTCACTAAAAATGAAAGGTTTCAGAAGCAGAAACACTCAGATTCAAAGAAAGTATATGCTAATTATAAATGGTTCCTTTCTGGTAAAGCATCTAAAAGATTCTCTAAGACATATTGCCCCATTTCTCAACATCAACTATTACTGCATTTAAATGCTAACACTCTCCCTGGAAAGGATGTCTTACAACGTGAAAGCAACTAAACTTTGCTTTAAAATTCTATTATTCAGACTCCTCATTAATTTAAGCTGACATTCCTCCTCAATTGGGGCAAATCATCAAAGCTTTATTGTATTGAGAACCTTGAATTCAGCAACAAAGAGTGTGGGATATGAGGGAAAACGTGGGGAAGGGGAGAGTAGAGAGCTCCCAAGGCCAAAGAAGGAAGGGGAGGGGAGGAAGGCTGCAGGAAGGACTGCAGAGGGAAAGATGGAGCATGGACAGGACGAGAGGGAAGGAGTTAGAAAATGGCTCAAATGAACATGGTAGAAGCAAGACAAGCCTGCAACTTTGAGATCAGACATTTTTCTCCAGAGTAAAAATAAAAAGGGAGCTAGGATATAGGGAAAGGGAAAACATTCCTTTTCTTCATTCAGGTGCCTCTCTAATCTCCTTACCCATGGCACTCTGCCCAGTGGCTCAGTGCCTGCCAAGAAGCCCACCCTACAGACCCTGAGGCCTTGGAGCTCCAGCCCTCTCACCCCAGTGTCTGGCCAAGTTGCACCTCCACCCCAGGCCCCAGCAGGGTGCCCTCTCGTCCTTTCTGGTGTGATTGACTATGGGATGTGGGATATACTAGATGGAATGTATTGAGTTCATTGTTGAGGCATAAGGCAAGGAAGGATCTTTGAAATGTGAGGACATTATCTCAAACTTTCATTTACCGTCTATGATTTATCACTAGAATATAATGAGACTTATAAGACGAGCTTTAAAGCCTAGGGAAAACCGAGTTCCTTCAATGTGTAACTTTAATAAATAAAATATTAATTTCAAAAGCCAGAGTAGTCCCAGACAGTCTTTTCTCTGCACCAAAACAATGCTCAAGGACACAAGAAACTCACACAGACACTGTGAAGCAGATAGCTCCTAGCGTCCAGCAACCCCTCTTAGTCCAAGTCGGGGGAGCTGCAAGAATTCAGTGCCCAGCCCAACACCTTCCAGCTCTGGGTCCTCAAAGAATGGATATAAACTCCCTAAGTCCCAGTTTCCCTAGGTGTAAGATGGGAAAAGAGATTATCTGCCTAATCTTAAAGCCAAGGGGCCTGTGAGGATGACACTGTAGGAAAAAGGTTTTCCAACCTTCACGGAAGATCTGAGCCTAGTTTACTACAATGACTCCTCCAGTTTTATGACACAGATCTGATCATGCCATTTCTCTGCTCAAAACTCTGAAGTGACCTCTTTTTCACTTCAGGCTGAAAACTAAGTCCTTCCACTGGCCTATAAAGCTACCCCTGCATTCAGCAGCACCTGCTTCCCTGTCTCTCTTTCTGCCAGGAACACCTTCCCCTTAGGGCCTTTGTACTTCCAAGTCCTTTGCTAGAATGCTTTCCCCAGAGGGCACCATAGCTGACTCCCTCACCAACTTCCCCCTGATAGTGGGGTGACTCCCTCACCTCTAAGGTTTTGCTAACCTGTCACCTTCTCCATGAGACCTACCCCGGTTAAAATTGCGGCCTGCTTTTCTTACCCCCATCCTGTTTTATATTTTTCCAAAGCATTTATCACCATGCAACAAAACAAACAGCTCACTATGCTTCCCCTTCACTTGTGTGTCTTCCCTGCTGCAGTATAAGCTCTGGAGGGCAGTCATCTTCGATTTGTTCACAGATGTGTCGTAAGCACCTGGGTTGGATCTTTCTTAGAGGTCCAGAATATAAAATCAATAAAAGAAGGGCTACTCCAAATAAAGGGAAGTATGGGTTCAAAATCTTCCTACCATCCTTGCAGGCTGTCCATAAGCAAGTGCCAAAACTGCTGACATTTGCTCTCATGTGTGAAATCAGTTTTGAAGCTATAAGGTGCTATATAATGTCAGATCCTAGGGCCGGGCACAACGGTCTGCACACATCAGGTGCCCAGCTAATAAGGGGAAGGGAACTAACATTTGTTGAGCAGCTATTACGTGATAGGCAGCGTCTGTGCCCCGTGTACCGTATAAGTGATCTCATGAAACTGTCAGATCTTTTACCATTATCTCTCCAGTACCTCACACCAAGCCTGGCTTGTGTTAAACACTCAATAAATGCTCATTTATTTCTCTAACGACCTTCTGAGGCAGGTACTATCATCTCCATTTGGGAAGGGCCCCAAGGTTCAAGTTTAGATAGCTTGCTTAATGTCATACAACTCGTGAGTATCAGAGCTAAAATTTAAATTCTTAACAGACAAGCTCCAATACCTCTGATTCTTTGAGAGAATGTAGGTTAGACGACTCCTCCGAGCTTCCCGGAAGCAGACCTGTCTCTGGGCTGCACCAGGAGATGGGAGGAGGGGTATTTCTTTTTCCACCTGGGCTCACTTCCTCCCTTTGTGCAATTGGCTCACCTGTGCAGTTGGCTCACCTGGAAGGGCCTCCTGCTACCTTTTGATTAATGGGTCTGCCCTTCCCAACCCCCCCCCCCCCCCCCCCCCGCTGGATAGTCTCTAGTTCCTAGAACTCTAGCCCTGGGAGAAAGCATCTCCATAAATCTCCTAATACTTTATATACCAGGTTAGAATTTCTCTTTGGAACTTTTGAGTTTGTTTCAGAATTGCCTTGAAAGGCAATTAATGAAATATAGAACATCAGGCAGGTTTTCATTTTCTGGGTGCTTTTATTTCATCTAGAACCAACCGTGGCCTTTAGAATCAGATTCTCCTTCTTAGAGACTCTTTCTGAGGTTTCATATTCAAAAAGTCCAGGTTGGAGAAGCTAAGGGTTCAATTGAGTGTCGGAAACGACCAATTCCATCAGTATTGTTCAATTGGCAAAAGGGGTAGTTCTTCAGTATGTGGGACTGTCCTGTGTACTGGGGGACATTCATCCTTCCAGCCTCATCCAGAAAATTCCAGGAGCATTCTCCAGTCACTATAACAGTCAGAAGTGCCTGCAGGCAATATTCTAAGTACCCCTAGTTGAAAGCACCAGCAAGGGTATCTCTGAAAGATGGCGAACTGGGGGCAAATACTACTAAGTTCTGCCATCATATAGGGGATGCAGGCACCTTCCCTCCCAGTGTGAGATGCTTCCAATCCTTGTTACCTTTGATGACCTTTGTTTGCCTTCAAGCCTGGTCTTGATGAGCATTTATTTTAATCTCTGATTTCTGCCATATAAAAATGGAAGGAGAGGGAAGGAGAGGAGGAAATTACTGAAATTTTCCCTGGGCTCATATCCTCCTAAGAAGTGTCCTGTTCTCTGGAATGACAGTGGACCCAATCAAGTTAATGATTGGGAGAGTTTACTAAATGTAGGTTCCCAGGCCCAGCAGTCATTCTGGGATAAGAGATAGAAACAGAAATAGATGGATTCACCAGGACCCAAGTATTGGTCTACAGCCAGTGAGTCTTCTCCACCTCTACCCCACATCAGTTCTACTTGTTTGTGGATCCCTGAGTACCACTCATCTGCCCTCCAAGGCATAGTGGGTTCTCTCTGATTTCTAGAAATATCAACATTCCCTGCAAGATCAATGGCCAGAATCAGGATCTTCTACTAGGGCAGGGATTATATAACTCCCTGGGCCCTGGAAGAGCATGACTGTTTATCAGGAACCATCCAGAGAGGCTGCCAGATGAATCACTGTCTGTTCTTCTTGCTCTGCCTCTTTTTTCTCTTGGGCATGATTACCTCGCATGCCAACGCCCAAGTTCACAGGCCATCTATTCCAGCCCTGCATCCTGCCTGCCCCTTTTGCTGGGAGTGCTTTCTGCAGCTCTCAGTGCATCCTGTTTGTTCAGACCCCTTTGTCTTCCACTGGTGCAGCGGGAGAGAGGATTCCTCCGAGTCCCTTTGCTTTTGGCTTTGAAATCAGATCCTGGCACACCTGATTACACTCAATAGCTGGAAATGGTAAGGATGTCCGATGGCAGAGGGCTCTTGTTTTAAGTTCTGCACACCAGGAAGGCAGGGGGTTGGGTCTCCTCCTCGGGGTTGCGCTGGAGGGGGCAGGATGCTCTGGCAGAAAAAGCAAACAGTGTAACTGAAGGGAAATTCACTTTAAAAGAAGCTCAGAGCACCATAAGTCAAGAGGCATGTAAGCCTTAAGCGAAGACACAAAGCAAGGCTTAGCCCATTCCTATCTCCTACATCCCTAGACGGGAAACATTTAATTCCTGTCCAAGGGGCCAGGAGGGTCAAAACTGTCTGTCCTGCTTTTTCTGTAGAAGTGTTGCCTCTGAGACCTTAGCAAAGTGGAATAAATAGCAACTTGCCCTCCACCACAGTGAAAAGCTCAGCAGGCGTCAGAGCATTAAAGGACAGCTGAGATGCTGCCCTAACACACTCGTCCCATAGCTTGGAAAGTCATTATGAAAATCTCACACAAAAGGCACAAAGAGCATCCATGTGCCCATACGCGGCTTGAGAAATGAAATATTACTGATGAGTTAAAGCTTCCTGTGTCCTTTTGGTCCTGTCCTTCCATCCCAGCTTCCTCAGCAGTAACTGTTCAGCTGTTCACAGGCATTTCCGTATATGACCCAGTGATGTGCACATCCCTGTTTGGGGTAATTGCTTAACCTTTTTGAAGCTCACTGTATTCATCTGTAAAAGGGGCTTTTGAAAAGATTAAAGGAAATGCTTTATGATAAATATTTGGCTGTTGTTCTTATGTAAAGGAAAAAGTCAGCAGAAAGAATTGGGTCAAAAGCAAGGCCCTTCCCAGCCTGCCCCTGACTTGCCCAAACAACTTCCTCTCCTCTCTGTAGCGATCTTCCCCAGATATGCCATTTGTTTTCATGCCTCTGGGTCAATGTGGATGTTGTGCTTACTCACCTGCAATGCTTGTCTCCGGTCTCCATCTTTCTTCAACACTGGGTTCCAATGTCCCCAGCTCTGGGAGGGCCCAGAGGCAGTGACTCCTTGGTGCTCCAATGGCCCTATATCTCTGCCTGAGGACTTGCAAGTATGGCCATGATGCTCTCGGTGTGTCCATCTGGCTTTCTCACCGAGCTGCACGTGCAGCAAGGATGGACAGGGTCTTCTTTAGCCAGTGGACTGGCCCATTGCCTGCTGGCACATAGCAGGCCCATGTTAAGTGAGTGAATGAATTCTATTAAGAACATTCGTGATTCATGGGAGGAGGTCAAAATATTAACATTAACAGGAGCTTGGAAGACATTGATTCCAGCCATCATGGATGACTCTGAGGCATTCAAGTGTATGTATGAAGGACAGTTCTGTCAACAGACTACAACTTTACTGCCCCAGTTAACACAGGGCAGTCTCCATGTCCCCATTTCTCCTTATAAGAATTTTTCTCTTTAAAGTCCCAATCTTCTCTGTCTTGGAAGCACAAAACTAAAAACTCTCTCTAAACTCCTCCAATGAGGTTGGAACAAATAGAATGGGAGTACGAACTTTCCCCATAACTGCAATAAACAAGTTTCACCCTGGGTGGGCTTTATGCAGGCCTTGAACATCTTTTTCTAGGTGTCTTGATACTTGTGTTCCTTTTCTTCTTGCAGCCTGCAGAAATTCTTAAATATAGAAATGTGCAAACCTGTTCATCTTGCCTCCAAGATCCACTTCACTGCCACAGAAACAAAATGCTGGGAAACAGTAGTCTGGATATTAAGGTGTTCTCGCCCACACCCATTGTTCTCTGCTAAAACCTTTGGTTGCTGCTGTGTAGACTCAGCTTTAGTCATGGGATTTTAGGGGATGTGTCTCAGAAGTGGGATCAAGAACAAGCCCCACAGTGATCTGCAGCATAAGCTGCTGTGGTGCCGTGGCGCTGAGAATGGCACACAGGTCTGCCCAGGAAGGGATAAGAAATGGGAACGAGAGCAGGGGTTAGGCTGTGCGCACGGGACACACACGTATGTTTTTTTTTTTTTTACTGTTTCTTTCTTTTTAAAACATTTTTCATTTTTATTAAGGGGAAATTCATATAATATGAAATTAACCATTTTACAGTGAATAATTTAGTGGCAGTTAGTACATTCACAATGGTGTGCAACGACCACACTTTTCTAGTTCCAAAATGTTTCCATCACCTCAAAAGGAAAGCCCATACCCATTAGGCAATTGCTCCCCATTTCCCCCTCCTCCAAGATCCTGGAAACTGCCAGTCTGCTTTGACTCTGTGGATTTACCTATTCTGGATATTTCATATAAATGAAACTATACAGTATATGACCTTTTGTGTCTGGCTTCTTTCACTAGCGTGTTTTCAAGATATATCCATGTTGTAGCATATATCAGTACTTCATTCTTTTCCATGGCTGAATAATACTCCATTGTGAGGACAGACTACATTTTGTTTATCCCTTCATCTGTCAGTGGGCATTTGGGCTGTTTCAGCCCTTTGGCTATTGTGAATGTTATATTGCTATGAACTTGTGTGTACATATATTTATTTGAATATCTGTTTTAAGTTATTTTGGGCATATACATAGGAGTGGATTTACTAGGTCATATGGTGATTCCATGTTTAACTTTTTTGAGGAACTGCCATATTATTCTGCACATGGCTGAACCGTTTTATATTCCTACCAGCAGTGTATGAGCACAGTCAGATTTTATCCCTCTGGGACTCACATTCTAAAGTGGAGTGAGGCCCTTCTAAAGGGCAGAGTTCCATGCACATGCAGAACTCACAGTCTCTATGTGAAGACACAAAATTTGCACAAACACATGGACAGAGAAAGGGGAGAAAGTAGAGCTCTCAGCAGACAAGTTGAAGGGTGGTTCAGAGAAGTAGTAGACTTTACCCATTTCCTTGCTGAGCTCTCCTTAGCTAAGGAAAAGGCAGACTGGAGATTCCACTGTCTATTGTGTCTTATTTTCACTTCTTCCCAGTTAGTCCCCTCTGTTACCCTGTTCTCAGGACTGTAGGGACACAGTGACTTTCCCAACCCCTGGCCAAGTTCCAGTAAACATTGGGGACTCTGTTAGTGTATTATCCAGTGTTCAGAGCTCCCAAATTTGTGAAGACTGAACTCTACACATGCTACTTGTCAACATCTGTGAGCCAGAAATAGGAGGAATATCTTCAAAAAGGAAGCTACAAACACAAAGTTATTAATAGCAGCTATTGAGGGGAAAAGCAAGGCCACCACCAGAGCCCCAAGGAATTAGACTCATCAGAGGGAAAAGGCATAACACTGGCTCCTTCCTCAAAACCAGCTGAAAGGAGCTGAGATCTATGTTAAATTTTGTATATAATTATCATTTGACTGAAAGAATAGAAAATACTATTGTATTATGATTTTCCTTCCCTTACAGTCTGGTAGCTGAAGCGTCAGCAATTTTGGAGGGAAGGCCCTGTTGACAGGGGCCTGGGAACCCCAGGAGAATGTCCTTTCTATGAGACATGGACCTTTGTGGATGAATAAGGGCCTGAAGGAGGAAATAGACAAGAGGGGTCAGAGAGCTA